TCCAGCTTGATGTGCTTGGCAAAGAGGGTGTGTATCTCAGTGAGGGAGCAGCTCAGGCGACCGGCCTCGATATCGATCAGGTCCTGCAGCGAGTACATCTCGTCGTTCTCCACAAAGTGCTGCCGGTCCTGAAGCTGCAGGCAGGGAGCCTGTCACTGCTGTGCCTGTCACCCCTGTGCCCATCACTGCTGCACCAGGCTCCTGACTCCCCCTCACAGTCCCAGAGTCCCCCCAGCTCAGTCCTGACCCCTGGGCCTGACCTGCAGCAGCAGTCGTGCCTCCATCGCCTCCTTGCAGGTGATGAAGTAGGGCTTCATGAGCAGGATGTCCTGGCGCAGCTTCTGCACGGGGACAGGGCAGGAGGGAATGGGAATGGGGATGGGAGTGGGCACAAGACAGAAAAGGTTGGTGGCAGAGGCAGGATGGGGACAGGTACAAGGATGAGATGGGGATGGTGTAGGCATGGGGTAGTATGAAGATAAGAGATGGAGATAGGGGTGTGATGGGGACAAGTCAAGCTCAGTCAAATTCAGACCTGCAGCAGTTTGGGCACCTGCTGTCCTGACTCCCACCCCTACCCTTTTCCACGTCAGTGGGACCCAGCAGGTGCTGAGAGGGCTCCCCTCTCCCTCCTGCTCACCCCATGCTCCCATTGCTGCCCACCCTGCCCAGCCCCAGCCCCAGCCCCAGCCCCAGCCCCAGCCCTGCACGGTAGGGTCGGGTGGGATCCCCCCCATCACTCACCCGGATCTCCACCAGCTCCTCCACGTAGTTGAAGAGCAGTGGGTTGATCTCCCGCAGCTTCAGCACAGGCCGGGACACCATCAGCGCCAGGTACCGCATGCTGCAGCGCGACACCTGCACGTCCGCAGCCACCATCACCCCATGGCCACTGGGCCCCATCCCTAGGGACACAGCCCTGGGGACACGGCCCCCACAAAGTGACCTCTGTCTACCCAGCCATGCAGTCCCCAGGGACCCCCATGACAAGGGACATGGCCCCAAGGTGATCTCAACCCAGGGACGTGGCCCCCAGGGACCCCCACGATGAGGGATGGGGCCCTACAAGTGACGTCCACCCAGGGATGGAGGCCCTGGGATTCCCCTGACCACAGTCACAGCCCCCGGGGTGCCCCCAGGCCCCCTCCCGGGGCACCTTGCGGGGCTCGAAGTCCCAGTTGTGGATGGCACGGGCGGGCACAACGGCCAGGTCATTCCAGTGGCAGCTGCTGCAGTAGTAGAGGCCTGTGTAGTCGCACTGCCGGGCCTCGCTGGGCACCCCCCCTGCGGCGGCACGCACCGGCACACATGTTGGCACAGGTACTGGCACCAGTGCCACACCATGCATTGCTCACCCCGCGCCATGTCCTTCCATGGACGCACAGCAGCACCCCAAACGTCACTTTCCCATGCACTGTGAATCCCCCCAGCCCCGCATAGCCAAGAGCCCCCCATCTCCCCATAGCTCACAGCCACACACAGCCCCCAGAGCCTCAGCCTTCAGCTCCCCCCCAAAAGAAGCCCAGCCCCACATCCCCAGCCCCAGACAGCTTCCCCCAGCCCCACAAAGCCCCCAAGGGAGCCCAACCACACACAACCCCAGCCCCACTGTGCCCCAGCTCCACCCTGCCCATACAGGCTCCAGCCCCATGCAGTATCACCCCCCCCCCCCCCCCCCCCAGCTCCACACATCCCCATTCCCCAGCCAGCCCCAGCTCCACAGAGCCCCCCCCCACAAGGGGGACTCCAGCCCCACGCAACCCCAACCCCGCTGTGCCCCGAGCTCCACCGAGCCCCCATACAGGCCCCAGAGGGGCCCAGCCCCACTCATCCTCCAGCCCCCAGCCCCGTGCCACGTCGGCGCAGCCTCACGCAAGGAGACGGGGGCCCGGCACTCGGCGCAGCGGTAGTCCTGGCTGTCCAGCCCGCTCTCGGGGCAGATGCTGAGCTGGTACTCGGCCTGATGGCTGACCTTGGCCCGCACACAGGGCTTGCTCACCAGGGGCAGGCACTTGCTGTGGCACCGGTAGTAGCAGCCTGGAGGGGGCACAGACGGATGTCAGCGTGGGGCGGGAACGTGGGATGGATGTGAGGGCTCCCTGGGGTCCCAGCCCCACCTGTGCAGGTGTACCAGGTCTGGATGAGGCCCCAGATGATGGTGCTGCACTTGTCACACATCTGCTTCACGCTCTTGCTCTTCTCCTTGTAGAAGCGATGCTCCAGCACCACCCGGATGTTGGGCTCATCCTCGCCGGGGTCCTGCGGGCGCGCGTGGGGGCCGTCAGCCTGCGCCTGGGCGTCCCCACACCGGGGACACCTTCCCCCCGTGGCCCGGTCCCGGCCGCACCTTCAGCTCCTGCAGCTTGAGGCGGAGGTGGATGAGCCGCACCACCGCGTCCTTCTGCTGCTCCGAGTGCTCAGGCAGCGCCAGGATCACCCGCTTGCACTCCTCGATGGCCTGGCGCAGCTGATGCACGTCCGACGCCAGGATCAGGCCCTGCGGCACGGCGGGGAGCAGCAGGGTGAGCCCGGCAGCGCGCACCGCGCACCCCCACAGCCCCGCTCCCCCCCCGGCCCCGCGCACCACGGGGCGGGAGAAGTGATCCTCGGCCAGGCCCAGGTCCAGCGCGCTCTCGGGGTCCCCCGAAGACGGGTCCAGCCGCTGGCCTGCAACGGGGCCAAGTGCCAGCGGGCGCCGGTGCCGGTACCGGGCCCGTGCGGGGCGCGGGGGGTGGCAGCACCCACCTGGGTCCGGGTCCCCCCCGTCGGGCCGCTCCTGCGGCGGCGGCGGCGGCGGCTCGGAGGCTTTGTCGAAGGGGTTGAGGTGCGCCTGGCGGAAGCGGGCCAGCCGCTCGTCGTACGCCATGGCCCTAAGGGACGCGGCCGCCGCCTCAGCCACGCACCCGCACCCGCACCGGCGCCGCGGACAAACCCGCCCCTCCGCCGCCCCCGCCCTGCCCCGCACCGCCCCATCCCGGCACCGCGCCCCCGCCCGGCTCCCGCACGGCCCCGGTACCGGCACCGCCACCGCCCGCCCGCCAGGGGGCAGCGCCCTCTCCTCGCTCACCGCCCCGCCGCGCTGCCGCCCCCTGCCGGCCGGAGGATCACACCGCGCACGGGCGGGGCACACGTGGGACGCGGCGGGGACGCGGAGGCGCGACCCACGGGAACGGCCCCCGCACCCAGGTCTGCAGAGCCCCCACCCCACGGCGAGCGGTGCCTATAGCCCCCAGACCATAGCTCGTGTCCCTATAGCTCCCGTCCCGATACACCCAGCCCCATAGCTCCTTGTCCCTATAGCTCCCGTCCCGATACACCCAGCCCCATAGCTCGTGCCCCTATAGCTCCCGCCCCGATACACCCAGCCCCATAGCTCCTTGTCCCTATAGCTCCCACCCCGATACACCCAGCCCCATAGCTCCTTGTCCCTATAGCTCCCACCCCGATACACCCAGCCCCATAGCTCCTTGTCCCTATAGCTCCCGCCCCGATACACCCAGCCCCATAGCTCCTTGTCTCTATAGCTCCCACCCCGATAGACCCAGCCCCCTAGTTCTTTGTCCCTATAGCCTCCACCCTGATAGACCCAGCCCCATAGTTCTTTGTCCCTATAGCCCTCACCGCTACAGCCCCCAGCCCCATAGCTCCCGCCTCTACAACCCTCAACCCTCCCCCGAGATCCCACAGCACATCATGGTACCCCGCAGTGCTGCCCCAGGGCTGTGCCTGGGTCTGGGGGATCCAGGACATCCCCAAACAACGCTAAGCCCCCCAGCTCCTGCTTGGGTGCAGGGCTGAACCCATAGTGCGGGGCCAGGATTTGCTGCCATGCAGCTGCAACCCCCCACGGATCCCCGCGGGGTACCATGCCCCCAGCTCAGTTTGTGGGGGACCCTTGCCAGCATGGAGAAGGGTGACAGTGGGGACAAAGGCACAGCCGGGCAAGGCGGCACCCCCCCTCCAACCCCAGATCTGTGGGGCAGGAGGATGCGGGACGCCACAGGGAGGCTCAGTGCATTGCCACGGCCTGGGCACGTGGAGTCCCCATAACCCTCTGAGACGGGCATGGCTGTGGGGGGGGTGCCCTGGGAGCAGAGGGTGTCCCCACCCCCATCGCTGCCCCCCCCCCCCCCCCCCCCCAGGCACAGGCAGGAGGTACCTGGACAGCAATAAATTTATTGAGTATTCAAAAAAAATAAAAGACACGACCCAGTAAAAAAAAACGAAAAGGGGGGAGGCGGGGGGGGGGAGGGGCCGAGCCGGCTCAGGGGGGGGATGGGGTCAGGAGACACTGAAGGGGTGCGGGGGAGCCCGGCCGGCGCCCGGGGGTGCAGCAGCGCGAAGCCAGGGAGGCTGCGGGCGGCAGAGGGGGGCATCGGGCATCACTTGGCGCCCTGCGCCTCTGACTCCTCCTCGTCGTCCTCGTACATCTCGCCCTCCTCCTCGGCCGTGGCGTCCTGGTACTGCTGGTACTCGGACACCAGGTCGTTCATGTTGCTCTCGGCCTCGGTGAACTCCATCTCGTCCATCCCCTCGCCCGTGTACCAGTGCAGGAAGGCTTTGCGGCGGAACATGGCCGTGAACTGCTCCGAGATGCGCTTGAAGAGCTCCTGGATGGCCGTGCTGTTGCCGATGAAGGTGGAGGACATCTTCAGCCCCCGCGGAGGGATGTCGCAGACGGCCACCTTGACGTTGTTGGGGATCCACTCCACGAAGTAGGAGCTGTTCTTGCTCTGGATGGCCAACATCTGCTCGTCCACCTCCTTCATGGACATGCGGCCGCGGAAGACGGTGGCCACGGTGAGGTAGCGGCCGTGGCGCGGGTCGCAGGCAGCCATCATGTTCTTGGCATCAAACATCTGCTGGGTGAGCTCGGGCACGGTGAGGGCCCGGTACTGCTGGCTGCCGCGGGCCGTCAGCGGCGCGAAGCCGGGCATGAAGAAGTGGAGGCGAGGGAAGGGCACCATGTTGACCGCCAGCTTGCGGAGGTCGGCGTTGAGCTGACCGGGGAAGCGCAGGGAGGTGGTGACCCCGCTCATGGTGGCGGAGACGAGGTGGTTGAGGTCGCCGTAAGTGGGGGTGGCCAGTTTGAGGGTGCGGAAGCAGATGTCGTAGAGAGCTTCGTTGTCGATGCAGTAGGTCTCATCTGTGTTCTCCACCAGCTGGTGGATGGAGAGCGTGGCGTTGTAGGGCTCCACCACCGTGTCCGACACCTTTGGGGACGGCACCACGCTGAAAGTGTTCATGATGCGGTCGGGATACTCCTCCCGCACCTTGCTAATGAGGAGGGTGCCCATGCCGGAGCCGGTGCCGCCGCCCAGCGAGTGGGTCAGCTGGAAGCCCTGCAGGCAGTCGCAGTTCTCACACTCCTTCCTCACCACGTCCAGCACCGAGTCCACCAGCTCGGCCCCCTCCGTGTAGTGCCCCTTGGCCCAGTTGTTCCCGGCCCCGCTCTGCCCTGCCGAGGTGGGGAAAAGAGGCACCGATGGCTGCCGGCTCCCCGGTGCCCACGCCAGGGAGGGGACAGGGCGCTGCCGCCGGCGGCATCGGCGAGATCTGAGGCCGGGGTGGGGTGGGAAGTCGGAACTGCAGAGGTTTGGCAGCGAACCGGCTGTGCCGGGCCCCACGGCATGGGAGGGCGTGCGCCCGCCGAGCGCCCCGGGCACAGCGACGGCCCGGGAGGGGAGTGGGGCCGCGGGTGTCAGCGCCCCCCCCACCCCAGGGACCTACCAAAGATGAAGTTGTCGGGGCGGAAGAGGTGTCCGAAGGCGCCCGAGCGCACGCTGTCCATCGTCCCCGGCTCCAGGTCAACCAGGATGGCGCGAGGCACGTACTTGTGAGCTGCGAGAGAGCCCGTGCTGGGGGGGGGGAACCTGCTGCTGACCCCCAGCCCACACTCATCCTGCGGGGTCCCATGGGGCTGGGGGTGTGTGTTGTGTCCCCCCCAGCCATGGGGTCCCACGGGGCTCGGTGCGTGTGTTGTGTCCATCAGGGGCTGGGTGCTCACTTCTGTCGTCGTGTGTCCCCCCCCACATAATGGGGGTCCCACATGGCTGGATGCACGGTTCCCCCCCCCCAAACTATAGGGCTCCAAAGATGGGATGCACGTGTCCCTGCTCCCCTCCCGGGGCCGCCGGGGGCATGTATCTTGCATATATCTGCCCCCCCCCCCCAACCTGCCCCACCCTGGAGACCCGGGCATGGGGGAGAAAGGGATGTTGGGGTTCCCCCCAGGCCCAAGGTGGGGGTGCCCTGCCTGAGGGGTCCCGCGGGGTCCTGTGTGTCGCTTACAGGAGGCCTCATTGTAGTAGACGCTGATGCGCTCCAGCTGCAGGTCCGAGTCACCCACGTAGTTGCCGCTGGGGTCGATGCCGTGCTCGTCGCTGATCACCTCCCAGAACTGGGGGGGGACAGGGATCAGCGGGGGGGGGGGGCACCGGGTACCGGGAGAGGGGCACAGGGACCCGGGGGACCCCTCATCATCACCCCTCCCACACCCACCCGCGGGGCGCCCCCTGGCGGCGGGGCGGACAGGGCGCTGTCCGCGGTGCTGAAGGGCGGACAAAGGCGCGGGGAACGGGCGGGGCCCTTTGTCCGCCCGGTGCGGCGGGAGCGCGGGTGGGGGGCAGCGGAACGGGGAGGGGGGGGAGGTCTTTGTCCGCCGCCCGGCTCCGCAGCAGCGGCGGGGCGGGGCCGCCGTTACCTTGGCGCCGATCTGGTTGCCGCATTGCCCCGCCTGGATGTGGACGATCTCCCTCATGGTGCTGCCGGGCCGGGTCGGAACAGGATGGGAGCGGGACCGGGAGCAGGAGCGGGAACAGGAGCGGGAGCGGCACCGGGAGCGCGGGGGGCGGCCCCGCAGCCGCCGCCTCCTTTATAGCAGCCTCGCGCCGCACCGGGCCGGGCGCTGACGTCACCGCCGCCCCGCAACCAATCGGCGGCCGCCGCCGCAGCGCTGCAACAGCCCTGCGGCACCGGCACCGCCGCCCGCCCCGCCCCGCCCCGCCCCGCCCGGCCCGGGGACCCCGGCACCGCGGGCACCGGCGGGGGGGATCCCGCACCCGGGCCGCGGGGCAGCCCCGGTACCGCGGGGGGGGGACCCCGGCGCCCACGGGAGGGGACACGCGGCACGAACCGGCCACAGGGACCACGCAGCAGCGGCGGGAGCGCCCCGGGGCGGCGGCGGCCGGGGGGGGTGACACCCCCCAATCCGCGTCCCGCCGCAGGGGTGGAAGAGGCAGGGCCCGGGGAGGGAGGGGGGGGGGGCGCTCCGGGGGGGTCCCCGGTGCCAGGAGCATCCCCCCGGGGCCGGCCGGGCGGTGGCGGGCGCGGCCCGAGAACAAAGGCGGCGGTGAGGGGCGCTTTGTCCGGGCCGTGCCCCGCACCGGCCCCGGCCCCTGCGCCCCGCCGGCCGCACCCCGCCGCGAGGCCCCGCGGCCGGTGCAGGTGGCAACCGGGAGCAATCGAACGTGGAAGAGACGGTGGGGCCGGAAAGTGGTCCCCAGGAGCTGCACGGCGGTGCCAGCCACGGCATCAGTGCAAAGAGCCTTTATTGGGAGCCGCGAGTCCCTGAGCCCGCATCGGGTGCCAGAGCCGGAAACCCCGCGGTGCATCCCATCTCATCCGTCCTTCTGTCCCGTGGTGGGGCGGCAGGGCCAGTACCGGTGTCCCGCTCCCTACCAGGAGCACAGCACCATCTCCCGCAGCGTCCGCCGAAGCTCCTGGCTACGGAAGGCATAGATGAGGGGGTCAATCACAGAGTTGCAGATAATGAGGATGAGGAAGAGGTTGAAGTAGCTGAAAAAGCAGGTGCAGAAGGGGTTGGTGGGGCAGGTAACGATGAGGATGAGGTGGAAGAAGAAAGGGCCCCAGCAGATGAAAAAGACGCCCAGGAGGATGGTGAGGGTGACGGCTCCTTTGAGGCTGC